ATGTAAAAGTCAAACTTACGGAGAGCAAAAACTATCGCCAGACACTCTTTCTCGGTTACTGAGTAGTTCCTCTCCGCCGGTGTCAACGTACGGCTCGCGAACGCAATCGGTCGGAGGGAACCTCCATGCTCCTGAAGCAAAATTGCTCCTAAGCCCAGGTCGCTTGCATCGGTGTGAATAACAAACTCCCTGTTCAAATCGGGTAGCTGCAGCTGAGCCGTGTTGGCCAGCAACTTCGTGAGGCGACGCAGTGCGGCCTCTTGCTCTTGGCTCCAAGCCCAACGCTCACCATTCCTCAAGAGCTTCGTTAAAGGCGCCTGCACTGCCGCGCAATCTGGAATGAATTGGCGATAAAAATTCACCATCCCCAAAAAGCGCCTCAGCTCACCAACATTGTTCGGCGATGGATAGCTCACTATCGCTTCAAGCTTACCCTTATCCGGCAAAATGCGACCCTCGTCAAGCGTAAATCCCAATAATGTTATTCGGGTCGCCGCTATCTGAGCTTTGTTTGGGTTCAAAGTGATGCCCGCAGACCTCAGCCGTTCTAGAACGTCTCTCAAGTGGCGCACGTGCTCTTCGAACGTTTTCGAGTAAACCACTATGTCGTCTAGATATGCGAGTGCGTGCTGCCACTTTGCATCTCCCAAAACACGGTCCATTAGCCTCTGATACGTAGCGGGAGCGCCCACCAAGCCAAACGACATTCTCCTGAATTGGAAAAGTCCTCTGTGGCACGTGAAAGCTGACTTCTCTTTATCCCGCTCGTCCATCTCAACCTGAAAATATCCGCGGCTAGCATCGAGCGTTGTGAAGTACTTCGCCCCGCCTAGATTGGATACTAACGATGAAATGGAGGGAAGAGGATACGCGTCCTTCTTCGTAATTTCATTCAGCCTGCGGTAGTCTACACAAAGGCGATACGTATCATCTTTCTTTGGAACTAGAACTACCGGGAAACCCCATGGGCTGTTTGACCTCTCAACTACGCCTGTTTCGATGAGTTCGTCCAAGGCGGCGTCTAGTGCTTTCCGCTTAGCTAAGCTGATTGGTCGGGGATTGCATTTCCAAGGGCGTGCATCACCCGTGTCAATTCTATGCTTAACCAGCGTAGTGCGGCCGGGACAGTCAGTAAACATCGCGTCATATTCGTACAACAGCGACGACAGCTGCGCTCGTTCCCCCTCTAGTAGGCTCTGTGCCTGTACCAAAAGCGGGTGCACTGCCCTTTCCTGCAGCGCAGCACATTGCTCCGGCGGGGCGTTTACTCGCTTTCTCGGCGCGCTTTCCTCCTCGCGTACTCGCGCCTCTCCCTGCGATTGGCATGCTTTTGTCAATGCGGAGGCCTTCGAGAAAAGCTTCAGCGCGTCTCCGTCGCGCTCTCGGTAACCACCGTTTGCAATGTCAATGACAATACCCGACTTAGCGAGGAAGTCTCGACCCAGGATTAGAGACATTGACAGCCCTGGAAGATGCACGAAACGTTGTCGCCTCACGCGTCTGTCCCAGCGGATCACTAGCCTAGCCGCGCCGCTCGATTGTGCTGTGCCCGTAGCTAGACGGAAGATGGTGTTGCTTTGCCTCAAGCGGATGTTGTTCTCGCGGAGATGGTGCAACACATCGTCACCGAATAAAGAAGCGCTTGCCCCAGTATCCAAAAGTGCTACGAACTTTTTCCGAGCTATCGTTAACTCGATTAGCGGCGCGGGCGAGTCTACGGCATCACCTGCGCGACAGACCGACGGTGCAAGTGATCCGAACGCATCGGTAGGATTACTAATCGCCGCGCGGGGTCCCATGTGGATCACCGGCGGCGCCGTCCGTTTCCCGAACCGCGCGTTTGCTCCTGACCCGGCGTGCGGTCGCATTCGCGAGCGATGTGCCCCGGCGCGCCGCACCGATAGCAAGGACCGCGGACACCACGCCGGTTCGCTCGTAACTCGCCTCGATCAGGTGGTCCTCGCTCTGGATTGCGCCGCTCGTTAGGCCTCGCGTCAACCACGTGCTCCTGCCTTGGAATGTCACGCGCAGGGGCGGCGTGTGCCGTACGGAGCGCGTAAGCGTAGGGGTCTAAAGCGCGGTTTGACAGCTCCCAACCGCGTGACACGTGCTCATCAGCGTACGATGCTGATGCGTTACCCCTAAACGCTTCTGAAGTCACTGCGCCGCCGTTCCATGCACAGCGAGGCTCGATTGACTGCGCGGCGGGCGGAGGGGGGCGATACGAACGCGCTGCGAGGATGTCCCCTTGTATGCGCTTCGCCTCGGTGGCGAGCTCTTCGAGGTCTGCGAACCTGCATCCCCTGAAGTGCGCCGCGAAAGTCGGGTGCGCCTGTCGGGTAACACGCTCGACCTTTTCCGCGTTGGTGGCGTGAGGGTTCGCGAGACGATACAATTCGTCCATCGCCCGTACGTATTCCAGCAAGGATTCGTCCGGATGCTGGGTGCGCAGCTCCAACTCCCTCCGCAAACGCCACTCATAATTAGCCGGTAGGAATTCGCCGCGAAAGCTTTCGCGGAACTCTTCTACCGTACGGGCGCGATGTCCGGTTAGTCGGAACCACCGAGCCGCTTGCTCCGTGAGCGACACCGGGACCACGCGCTCGAGAAGTTCGGCATCAGAAAGACCCGTCGCCTGCTGATAATGGAGCAACCGGTCGAGATACTCGTTGGCGCTCTTGCAGTCGTGGTAACCCGTGTAGGTCGGAACGTCTACCTTGACACGTGGTCGCACATTTTGCACGGGGGCCTGCGCTGTGTTCTGCAGGGCGCTCGCGAGGCTTTGCATAACTGACAGCGCATTCTGTAAGAGTACCTCGCTCGAGGGCAAACTGTTGCCCGAAGACTCGCCTATAGTTGAGGCGCGTGTCGTAACTTGTGGCGGCGCCTCTCTGTTCGCGTCGCGAGATGCCGGAGCGCCATGCGGGCCGCTCTCCGTCGTAGGCCTACTCTCTGCTAACGCGGTCTCTGCACCCTCCTGATCATCCCGCGTGAAACGACCAAGCTCTACGCTGTCGGAAAGTCCTAACAGTACCCCCGCGTTAGCCAAAGGATCGCCACTCTGCGACGCGACATCCGACAACATTGACAAATCTTGGAATTCCGACATGCCTATTATCCTACGTGTGGAAGAGCGCCCTGGCACTTGCTCGCGTCCACAGAACTAGCCGCGTTGCCAAATTCGTTACGTTGGGCGCCAGATGTTGGGTGACCGTCCTATGTACGGCTGACGCAGAAGCCTATAGCTAATGTTTCAGCCGCACACAGTCGTTCCGTGCACGGTTAACGTCCCCCAACCGTAGCTTGCCTCATTGCAGCTACTACTACGGGTTCGGGCGAATAAGGCAACTGGCCAGATCAACAACAAACACTTTATTGCTAAGCGTTAGCAATCGCGCGTCACTGTCGCGGGGAGATACTACAGATAACAAAGGTGTTGACGCTTACACCTCGGTCGTGGACGTCCTCGGCTCGCAGGAGGGGTTGCGGGTTCGTCCTCCTGGGATGGTCGCTGGTGTCAGAGCGAGCGAGCGCCCGTTTGCCCGCTCGTTTTGTTCCCCGACCCGATTTCCCTTTCCCTGACGAGAATGGCACCTTTCCTCGCTGAGGGAGAGGGGAACCTGTTCCTGGCGCCGGGAAAGGGGGGGGGAATCGCACGCGCCGGCCGTGGGGGAAGGGGTCCCCGCAACCAGGCGCGTGCGCTGCCCTAAAAGGGAAAGGGAGGCTGGGCGCACCTGCTCCCCACAAAGCGATGGTGTAGTGAGCACCGTCCTGTCATCAAGGATTGGTGGATGGATGAATATAGGCTGTGCCTTTTAGATCGGGTGGTGGCGCACGCTACCTAGCCATAATACGTAGTAAAGTTAAGCACTATATCACTATAATTATTAAATTTCACTCGTGCCTTCATTGTTGCTGCAAAACGGATAACCTCCTCTTCGTTGTTTCTACCCGCTGTCCCTATACTCCAATGCTTTGAAAAATTCAGCGCTATTATTTTGGACTATAGGGTGCACACACACACACACACACACACACACACACACACACACACACACACACACACACACACACACACACACACACACACACACACACACACACACACAAATACACACTTTCTCTATCCAGGTGTGTGCTACTGAATGATTGTATTACCAAAAGTGGTCATTAAAATGACCACTTTTGCACATTGAGCAGCCGGTTCACCAGATGAATGGTGAACCGGCTGCTCTAACGCAGCTGCCTCCGTCTGCTGCTTTCTTATATCTGAACGGAAGAAAGCGTGAAGAGAGAGAGAGAGTGGTTAACGAAAGAAGTGCTGTTTGGTTTTCGGACGGTGGTCGGAGGGTGGAGGAAGGGCAGGGTGTTAAAGTACGATCATGATGACCCCAGCTACGACGTCCAGCTCCTGGTCGTACGATAGGCCCTTCAGAGGGCTGAGAGGATCGGCCTCCCCGTCCCTACATGAGTCTAGTCAGGAGTTGGATGTATAAGCATCTCACTCTCTTCCTTCCGAACCTAATAAATGTATTTCTCTCTCTCTCTCTCTCTCGGATGACTGAAGGGCAGGTGGTGGTGGAGGCCCGGTTGCCGAAGAAACTGCGCGAAAACTCGGCAATGAAATGGCGCGGTAACGCGACCCGACTGAAGGGCAGGTGGTGGTGAAGGCCCGGTTGCCGAAGAAACGGTGCGAAAACTCGGCAATAAAATGGCGCGGTAACGCGACCCGACAAACACGATTGCACATCCTTGTGTAACATGCACCCCAACACAGCCGATGCAAGAAGGAGGCGCCAAACAGACGCCTCCTAGGCCACAAATTCTACCTCTTTCTCTCTCTTTCCTTCTCTCGCTTTTATGAGAAAGAGGGAGGAGAGAGAGCTTACAAAGCAAGAAGGAAGAGAAGTTTCGGAGGATGAAAGCGCTGCCGTGTCGTGCGCAAAGGAGGGAAGAGGGGAGGAATTGAAGTGGTGGGCGAGAGTGGTTCGGTTGCCAGGCCGAGCGAGGCTCTCGCCGCGATCGCTCGTACTCAGCTGTCCCTTCAGCGGCGCGATAGTGGAGAGCGGCGCGATTATCGTCGTCAACGAGAGTGCCGGGTGCGCGAGACAACGCGAGACAAGAACCGTCGGCTCTCTTGTGTTGGCGCGAAGGCACCGTGCTTGAAGGGCACGCGACGAGAGGTCCGGCCAAGCTCTATCCGGCGACTACGCGAACCACGGCCTGCCCTGCCGTTCACCAACCGGCGGTAAGTCTCTCCTTTACGTGAAGTATTAGCAGTAGCAGCATCACCATGAAATTTCAACGTTACGGAAGTACGCATGATAAAGGAACGTTCATAAAAGGGAAATGTTATGCTACATTAGTTTGTGGCAGTCGAACTAACAAATAAATGAATAACAATCCTAATGACGTATAAAAACAAACCTTCTCTTGTGTAGGGAAATCGTGGTGTCAATTGGCCAGGACGAAATTTTCGTCAACTGATGCTGTCTGAGAAATGCGCGCGAATTTCCTTGTTGCTTCAAGCTGCATGAGGATGCCGATTTCGCCCTCAGTACTTGAATTAGTAGCAGCAGCAGTAGTAGTAGTAGTAGTAGTAGTAGTAGTAGTAGTAGTAGTAGTAGTAGCTGTTGTATCTCATCACTAGGTCGAAGTAGACAGGTGTGAACTGAGTTTTCTTTTTTTTTTTCCTCTTTAATCGAATGTTAAGGGCACCTGATGCGGAGCTAGTGACCAGTAATGACCGAGTTATGATCGTGACGGCGCTTACAATGAGAAATAGCAATACAGCTGTGCGCCAGCAAGCGCCCGAAACAGAGTAAATGCCGGGAAGAACTTGGATATTGTCACGGGTGCACTGAACTTGCGCTGCGCCTACAAACATAAGTGGTGAAAGGGACGAGGTTAAGACCGTCAGCCCTGGAACCGCGCATGGATTCGCAGTAAGCCAGGCGCATTCGGTCATGAAAGTGTTGTTAAAGTGTAATATAAACTTGATTGATATGTGGGGTTTAACGTCCCAAAACCACTATATGATTATGAGAGACGCCGTATAGTGGAGGGCTCCGGAAGTTTAGACCACCTTGGGGTTCTTTAACGTGCACCCAAATCTGAGCACACGGGCCTACAACATTTCCGCCTCCACCGGAAATGCAGCCGCCGCAGCCGGGATTTGAACCCGCGCCCTGCGGGTCAGCAGCCGAGTACCTTAGCCACTAGTGTAATATAAACTACTTGGCGCGTAGCGTGGGAAGTATGACAGGCCGGTACGCGTTGGTGAGTAGTGGGAAAGGGGCGCAGCAGCAGATCAGTTGTCAGCGTTACGTTCGCGGGCAACCCATCTGGCGGAGTGGTGGCGTGTCTTGCAAACTGGTGCACTATTGGCGCCGTTCACTGACTCTGGCAGTCGAGAGCGACGAGGTTTCGCTCCCGTGTTCTCTCTTGAGTGCGAAACGATGGCGATGCGCTCGCCGCACGGCGGAGCCGGCCGACGCGTGTACGCGAAGCAGGGACTGCAAGATTCGTGGCCGAGGGATGCTCCGAAATAATTCTGAAGGCGCGCGTTAATTGTTTCGAAGACCTCTCCCAAACCGGACGTGTATATCGTGGCACTCTGCCAGCCACGATTGTGATGTAGTGAAACACGAAGCGCCCATCCCGCGCTTTCGTAACGAGTACAGCGTAACGTCGTATTTACAGTGTCGTTTCGTGTACGAAGCGTTTCGAAACAATGAACCCCAGAGTCGAGGGTGCGATTGTCTTGTGATAACGCGATCGGGCCGTTCGCAGCGGCAACATCCAGATCGATGCAAACACGCGAATATTTGCGTCCCAATCTTATCGCGGTGTGTTTGCTTATCAAAACCGAGCCCCGTGACACTCAGCAGTTGAAAGCGCTCTATCCACATAGCCTACCATTTGCGTCGCGTTTAACCTCTTCGAAAACAACAGAATACATGAGAGATGTGGGCCTCTCTACACATTTTAGCTTCTTATTAATAATATTTGGAGTTTTACGTCCCAAAGCCACCATATGATTATGAGAGACGCCGTAGTGGATGGAGGGCGCCAGAAATTTCGACCACCTGGGGTTCTTTAACGCGCAGTGACATCGCATTGCACGCAGATCTCAACCATTTCGCCTCAACCGAAATGCGGCCGCCGCGACGGGGATCGCACCCGCGACCTTCGGGTCAACAGCAGAGCACTGTAGCCACTTATCCAGCGTGGCGGACAGTTTCGGCCTCAGGCTTATTTAATAAGCAGTTAATGAAATTAACATGCGTGTTTCAGTAATGGCACCTTCGCAGCATCACGATTGAGGTTGGAAAAATTGACCATGGGAAGCTGGGTGATATGTAAGTCGCTTTAACTTACTGGTGCAAGAAAAGAAAAAAACTTGGCTGCACGAGCACGATATCGCACTGTGCTTCGCTTGGGATCGTGCAGCCACTTCAGTACAGCTTGCCACGCGAATGAGACGCCAGAGGCTCGAAAAAACTGATTAGCCCGCTACACGAGCGCGATATCTGTTGGCAGGCAACGCAGCGATGGTCGAAGGCGATTAGCACACAACACTATGCGACGCCTTGGCTCTGTTCACAATAGGAAAACCAGCGCGAAAACAGCGTTCTTACTGTTTCAGTTTACTGGTTTTCGAAGTATATGGAACGTTTAAAAAAGGTCACAAGGTCTTTCGCTTCTCAGGTGTTCGTACCATTGATAAAAAAGAAATCACAGCATATCACCGGAGTGAATGATGATAAGTGGAGCGAAGTGTCTGTCCGTCCGTCTGTTTGGCGACGAGCACGAGCCGCACTGGCGCTCCGCGCCCGCCGCTCCGCTTCGTCCATGCCCCACGAACGATCCGACTCGTACGGTGACCATCCAGGAGAGTGACAGAGGCACTCGTTCCCCGCTCACCCATGCACAGCCCGCGCAGCAGCCAGTCGGAGAGTAGCAGTACAGCGCCATCTAGAATATCTTCACTCAACTGCAGTTTGTATGTGGATGGATGGATGGATGGATGGATGGATGGATGGATGGATGGATGGATGGATGGATGTGGCTGTACCCTTTAGATCGGGCAGTGGCTAGCGCCACCAAGCCGTACTACTTAATAAACCAAAAACTAGATTTATTTTTTTTTTCCTTTAAATAGTGAGGTTGAGGATATGTACTTTGCAGTGAAGGGTTTAATTTTCACTCGTGCCTTGACTTTAGCCACCAATCAGATAACCTCCTTCTAGTTAATTCTACCCACTTAAAGTCTTATCATCCTCCCTGTCCCTAAAACCCAGTGCTTTGAAAAACTCTGTGCCATCATCCTGAACTATAGGGCGAAGCCCTTTACAGAACATTATCAAGTGTTCGGCAGTTTCTTCTTGCTCTCCACCCGCACTGCATATCGTGTTTACCCCTTCGTATTTGGCCTGATGTCTTGGTTCACAATACTCCCGTCCTGGCCTCAAACAGTACAGAACTACCCCGAGTATTATCATAAGTTCTTTCCTTGGCAATTTCCTGCTTAAATGTTCGATAGATCTCTAGTGCGGACTTCTTAATCATGCCAATTCTCCACATATCGGCCTCAGCTTCCTTCACCTTCTTCTTAACCAATAATTCTTTTTGGTTTGGCCCCCTGCTGTTTTATAAGTATTTACCAGTCAATTTTTTGGTTCGCTTCCTCCAATTTGTATCGACATTCTTCATGAACAAGTAGCTGAATACCTTCCTAGCCCAACGCTCCTCGCCCATTTCTCTCAATCGCTTCTCAACTTTTATCTTGCTGCTAGCTTCCCTGCCCTCAAACGATGTCCATCCCATATCACCTTGTACTCCCTGATTTGGTGTATTCCCGTGAGCTCCTAAGGCAAGCCTACCTATTCCACGTTGCTTAATTTCTAATCTTGCTTGAACTTCTGATCTCATACACAAGACCACATTGCCGAACGTCAGACCAGGAACCATGACCCCTTTCCATATTCCTCTCACAACGTCATACCTATTGTAATTCCACAGTGCCCTGTTTTTCATTACCGCTGCATTCCTGTTACCTTTAGTCGTCACGTATATTTCGTGTTCCCTCAGGTACTCGGTCCCAATGCTTATCCATACGCCCAGATATTTGTATTTATTTGTAATTTCTAGCATGACTTCCTGTATCCTAACCTTCATTATCATTAAAAATCATGACTCCTTATTTTTCCTTACCAAATCTGGAATCTAACCTATCTCCCTCATTACCGCAGATGTCCATCAATCTCTGCAAATCTTCCTTGTTGTTGGCCATTAGCACTATATCATCTGCGTACATTAATGCTCGTAGTGCCTGGTCAATGAGTTTTCCTTGTTTGACTAAAGAGAGGTTGAAGCCCAGTCCATTTACCTCTAATTTGGCCTCTAATCCTTGTAGGTACATCATGAATATTAAGGGTGACAGGGGACACCCCTGCCTAAGCCCCCGTTTTACCTCTGCAGGCTTGGATACCTGTTTTTCCCACTTTATAACTACCTTGGTACCTTTATAGATATCCTTTAAAAGATTAGTGACTACATCTTCCACGCCTAGTGTGTCCAGTATTCCCCACTATTCCTCTTGAACCACGCTATCGTACGCTCCCTTGATACCTAAAAATGTACTTCAATGAGACAGCATGTACTTCAACGAGACAGCGCCATCTATTATACTGTTCAAGAGATACTGCAGCTTACGCCTGACGCAAGGCAAGGTTAGACCAGAGTCCTTCAATACTTTTACAGTATTGAAGGACTCTGGTTAGACTAAGAGGAGCTTCGCTCCTAAAAGAAAGGAGGTAGCGTTACGTCATACAAGTGAAGCCCATGTGAAGCCCACCGTGTCGGCCCAACACGTGATCAGAACGTCAGAGCGTGCGTACATTTTAGCAGTCTCCGTGGCTATTCGTGTTTGAACCTCCTGCGCGAGCCAGCAGGTCTGCGCCGAACCGGCACCCTTCGATTAAAACTTACCGAGCGCCATACCCAGAAGTCTCGACAAGTCTTGTTGCTTGCGTGACCTTGACAGAAAATCTGACGTTCTGGACCGACAGTGCTGGCTTCAAAACGGGTTGGCTTGCAAAGGCTGGCGACGTGACGTCGTGCTCCCTCCTTTATTTTTCTTTCTCCATGGGTCGTACCGATTTTTCTCCTCCCCTCCCCAGGAAGGCTCTTTGCTCCTAACGTCGTGTTGCATTGACTCCGAGATCGGAGGCGTTGCAAGCTATT